CCTAAATAAAATTAAACTCAAATTTAAAACATGTGAGCTCTTGGATATACAGAAGAAGGAATGATTAAATCATGTTGACCTGGTTTAAAAAATCTCTAAAGCCGAGTTTTTTAAAAGTAATATAAAAATGGTGCACCTCTGGCTGACAAAATTTTCCAAGTCATTAACTATACTGCGTTCATTCAAGAAGCCACAATTACCTTAGTATCTTGTCATCTCTATTTAACAAAGAATTCGTAGCCATATACTATAATTAAATTACATCAATTAAATACGAACAATAACGTGTTTATAAAAGTCGCAAATTATCTCGTTGCGATCTCAATTAGTCATAAATAACATGTAGTGAACAATTATTTACGTCCATGTGGTGTAAAGAGTAATTATTAGTAGTATTGTTTAAAGAGACGTGCACATATTTACATTTTGTCACGAAAAAAATGATTGAAAATTTAAAACATAGATCCCACGCTACTCAAAATTTCATTTAGTAAGAATCGATGCTTATTCAGTTTAATTGTTTTGAAAATTGTACTTGTAATGAAAAAAATTTCAATAAACATAAATCATATTGGTAACAACTAAATTATACTGAAGAGAGCATTCCACAAGCCACTTGACTCCTAAAGAGTCAATTGATAAAATATCAATCGGACCACAATTGAAAAGGATTTTTGATTGATACAAATGAATTAAACTTTGTATTATAAATGAAGCCATGATGCAAACAAAGTGATACTAAAATTATTGATAATTTCAAATTGATCCCTCTCTCAAAAACAGATAAATATCGTTTGTTGGATTTCAGTAGAACAGTCAAATAGAGAATTATTAGAAACAAAATAAGACATGTAGAGAATTCCCTACAAAACTATTTTAGAGACTGATTTTATTACATATTTCTTAATAGCGTAAGAAACTATTTGCCTCATAATAATGTAATTTAATTGGTCAAAAATCAACAGAATAAAATTAAAATCTCTCAACATTTTGATATCAGGTATGCATTATTGTTTGGTCTTGGAAAATACTAAGATCGAGCAAAAATGATAAATAAATTATTGCATGCTTCTTAAATTGACGTTTTCATAATTCACGAATATAGTTATGATTATAACAAACTACTAAACTTGAATTATAATATCTCAATCAAAAGTTAGCAAAGTGTAATAAATCAAATATTTCTACATCCACCCACATCATGTGAAAACTGCTTGTGGGCTTTTTTCAAATAGTCATTCAAATTATTCCACATGCATGAATTAAATATTATATCATTGCATATTTCTTATTTGTAAAATCATCAGCATAGTACTAAATAGTAAAGCAGTTCTAATATTAAAATAAATATAACTTAATTAAGCTAAAGTGCTTTCAATGTGAAAAACAAATATCACAACATCTAATGTGTGAGCAAATACTTTTTAATTAGAACTGCAGAAGAAAATACTGTCGCCAAGTGTTTCTAAGGATGAAATAATTTAAAGAATATACGGAAAATACCTTAGCACGTGATTATGTAACATCTGATGACAACATCTGATTTTAATACAACTTTGTATAAATAAAATTGAATGATCTCAGGATTGTCTAGCTTAGATGGTCTAACTTACTTATAAATTTATGAATTTAAAATAGATAAAAATAAGTTAATTTTGCAAGTTATGAATGTCTTAAAAGTAATTTTAAACACAATAGTAATCAATGTCTCCTTTATAACCGGTATGATAGATTATCACATCACCTAAAATAGGTATATGTTAAAAGAGAGATACTGGTTTGACATGGGATATCAATCAATTATTTTAAATCTGAAATTCCCATGTTTCAGTGGATCTACTGAATAATGATCAATTTTTTATTGTTAAGTTAGAAATATCACTAATTCCTAAAATAGATCAAGAAAATTTATCTTCTGGTATAAAATGAAATATATGAAATAGTGTTATAAACTCGCCCACGAATATGCACTTGGATATTTGCACAATGCAAACGAAAAAGATAACTGGTATTGATTTTAGTTAAACATGGCATCTAACATGTTCTATTTTTAAACCAAAATAGAATAATCATTTTATCGCAAATTATTCCTTTATTTAAAATGACTATGTACCGTTTCTTTTTATAGTAAGAAGAAGTCATCGCAATTACTATAATCTGAATACAATGGATGCGTCATTCAGCATAGTATACTAACATACATATGAAAATGGAATTATATAAGAAATTGAAGTTTATATGCTCTAAAAGATGTTTTAACGGCGATAATAAAATTATTAGTACTGCATCTAATGACACAAACAATAATGCATAATATTGGGTTGCACGAGTAAATGTTTCTTGAAATGGTTAATTTCTGAAACAATTTCCAGAAAAGTGATACAGCAATTTTTCCAAAATTATGGCATTTCGCTTATTTTGTATTACTACAAATGTATTCCATCAATCTAAAAAATTGTGTAAATTATAAATATTAAAATTGAATAAGTTTGCTTAAATAAAATGATTATAAATATAAACTCCACCAATGCACAGGTGCTTTAATTACATTTCATGACCAACTGTAACCGAGTTAAAATAGTAGATTCTAGTTCCCCAATAAATATGCAAATGAAAACCCACAAATGCTGCTTCTATTCAAAACATTTTCATCACAAATCAATAAATAGGATGAATTCAAATTTGCACGCCATGCATTTCAAGGACCAAACTTTGCAAATGATTTTTTCACGGTCGAATTGCATATTGTACTACACAACTCGATAAAACTACAATTGTTCGATATTGTGTTTGACATATTTTCAATATGCGAAAATTATTCATGCATAGAAAATCATCGATGAATATAAATGACATTTGTTGATATAATAATGTCCAAATGCAGTTAAGAATGCATATTGTAGAATAAACGCTAAGTGTCAATAATGTTTCATTCTCATTGCCGGATAAGGATTCTAAATTCTGGTAATTAATTATTGAGTATAATATTCAACTAGGTATTATTCTAAACTAACCATCATAGAAAGTTTGACACACGTTGAGATCAGCAGTATTCGAAAACAAAGTAAAGTCAATAGTAGAATATAGAGTTCGAAGTTTTCGATTTTAAACGCCATTATTTTAGAAAACAGGTCATTATTAAGGGTGTCAATTTAAAAAATGTGTGTTCATTGATGTGTAAATAAGTACCTACCAAAACTATCGTATTTTATTAAATTTAGAGAAAGCTCTAAAATTAGAATTTACAATTGGATTAGAAACGGAAAAAATCGCTTACTCAAGAAAAAAAATGCTAAAACAGATAAAACCGTAAAAATTCTTATAAGTATTTAGCTTAAATTACAAAATAAATGTTGGTCATGATATTGAAGAAAATTATACAAATACAAACATTTATGTTTTATCCCAAAAATTCTACTACGTATTAAAAGATTTTTCATGCAGGCATTTTCCATAAATATATTTTCTTAAGACAATTTAGATATATTAAATGAAGAAAACATAATATATTTATTGTTGAAAAGTGTGTGAGACAAACTCTATATTCAATTAAATATTGTTTAATATAGAGTTTTACTCACCTATTATACATGATATATATTTAGGAGCCAATCTTCCGATAAAAAGACTGTAACATACCGTTGTTATGGTAACGTCATGTTACGGTCATTACTTCAAATAAATTGGTAGGAAAAACTTTGAAGTCTTTGAAGTCATGTTTTATATGTAAAACCTAACTTCACGCATGTGTTGATCATTTCTGAGCATGAAAGATCAGAAAGATGCAGTTTTGTTCTATAACTGCATAGAAAATACATAGAATTTCGACAGTTTTTGACATAGTGTTGTTATGGTCCATTTTATCATAGAAATGGCTCCTTAATTCAAATTCAAATTGACTATGTATTTTTTTTTCTTGTTCGAACGCTCGAACTTGGAACTCAAAAACCTAAGGATGACTTAAAAAAAATAGGTACAACTAAGTTTCTCTTGTATTTCTAAACTGAATGGGAGCCTGCCGATGTTTAAATTTGAGTCTAGAACTTAATTGAATCAATTGCTCAACATCAACATCTCAGTTTCAGATTGACTCCTACCTAAAATCTCTATAAAAAAAATCGAATTGGAAAGCCAGATCAAACCCAAGCAGTAAACAAGAATGACTGGCTCCTTAGTTATCAAATTGACCAATTTGACAGTTTTTACTACCACAATGCAACTGCTAATCAAGTTTTGCTCATTATGGTTATTTTTATGGAATTTTTTAAATAGTTGTGTTGCATACACTGAGAAAGCTTGAACTTGGGACTCAAAAACTAAGGATGACTTGAAAAAATAGGTACAACTTAGTTTCTCTTCTATTTCTAAACTGGATGGGTGCCTGGCGAACCTCAGATTTGACTCTAAAACCTAATTGAATCAATTGCTCAGAATAAAATGTCAGTTCTAAACTGACTCCTACCTAAATTGTCTATCGAAAAATTGAATCGAATGCCAGATCAAACCCACGCAGCAAACAAGTATGACTGGCTCCTTAGTTATCAAATTGACCATAATCAAATTTTGTTCATTGTGGTTATTTTTTATGGATTTTTTTTAAATAGTTGTGTTGCATAGACTGAGAAAGTTCGAACTTAGGTTATGGTCAAACTTTGATTATGGTCAAAAACTTGAGAATGACTTAAAAAAATAGGTACAAATCAGTTTCTCTTTTTTTTAAAAACGTCCTGCTTATTCTTGAATTTTCCGAGTCTATAAGTTCTATGTGTGCTATCACCAGATGTGTATCAATTACTTACTTCAATGATCTCAGTACCAGACTGACTCCTACCTAAATTCTCTATCAAAAAATCGAATTCGAAAGCCATAACCCATACAGTAACAGTATCAAAGTATTCCACTGAGTCCATAATCGAAATTCTTCATAAAAATTCCCTGCCGAATAAATACAGTAAAATAGTATTCTTCGCTATGTTAGTACATAATTAAATTCATAATATAGCGGCGGCGACCCTTGGGTGAGCGTTGCATTGTGCAATTCATCCAGCGTCGGCCGGTACGCAGCCTGAATTGACATTATGTTACGGTAGTTGTCCAGTCTCGGCAAAGCTTCGCGAGTGAAGTGCCTGGAAATATTTTTTTTTATATTAAATATTGAATATGCATTCAGACTTATTCGTATAAATCCATGAGTTGTAAAGGTAAATTAAATGTAACTGTAAAATACAGAAAAAGATGGTAGGATTTGCTCCTATTGACTATGGTATACAATTTTTTATATTGGCAGTTCCTTGTTCAATATCTTTTTTAGGTGGTATAATGTTAATATTAAGGAAATGCTATTGTCGCTATTTCTTCCATTGATCACTGTGAATATTCAAACAATGTTTCACTGCTCTTCTTATTATTCATAATCATGTACAGGTAACCCCCGTTATAACGTTCCAAAAAAATATCGTATTATGCGGATCCGTGCTATATGGGACAAAGAACTAGTACAAAAAGAGGGGTTACATTCCAAGAGTTTGAAAAAACTTGCTACATATCATGATTTTATAATGAATATTGTTATATTTATTAATTTTTTTGAAGTGATATACTACACATGAAAAAAATAAATTTTCTTCGTCATAACTAATAAGTAAGTGCTATCCAAGGCGATCCTTTTTTGAAAGATATCCTCATCATCTGAGCAGAGATCTGTACTATCAGATTCGTGCATTATTTTTTGCAAAAAAAATTATATTTGCGTTTACTTGCTTTTAGCAAAATTATATTTATATATATTTAACACATGCAAAGTTATCTTTTTTAAACTATTAAGCTCATTTTATTTAAAGGATCTTTGTTTAAGAAATGAAATACATTGTTCGCATAATCATAGAATATTTTTCGATAGAACGTATGCCTGCAAATAATATATATAGAATTACTTATCTTTTGCACAAGTTTCACCACATTTATTGAGCTATTTTACGGCGATTTTACTAATTTTAGATTAGATTAGATGAAGTATGATTTTCATAGGTTTTACTATATTTTATGTTTTATTAGGGATTTGCTCAATTCTCAAACCAAGTTATAGATTTAAAAGTACCGTGTTATGAGGGTGGTGGATTCAATTCTTAAACCGTGTTATACAAGTACCGCCTTAAGCGGGGGTTGCCTGTACCTACTGTAGGTAGATGATTATGTACAATAACCTTAACACTTTTTTATGGTGGATGTTAACAAGAAAAGCAGTTTGGAAAGTCCTATTAAACATAAGTAATCGTCCTAAAAGTTTTGGATTGTAAGCGCTGGATTGGAATAGAAGCTAAAACTATTTTTGAAATGACAAAACACAGGAAAGATAAAAATGTCAAAAATGCCATGATATGTAACCAATGATATTGTACATAGAGACTTCAATAGTAAAAGCCATCTCCAAAGATGAAGCATGAATTATTTAGAACTCTGAAAATTTTCCGACATTCGTGGCTATACATTTGAATCATTTATCCGGAAGGTATTAATGTTGAAGGAATATTGTGTATGATTTTGTTAATTAAAAACCACGGGCCATTAGTAATTTTCCTTTTAGTTTTATATTATAACCGATGGATGATATAGAAACTATATAGTACTATATTTGGAATGACACAGGATTCCAACAAAAGTCGTAAATGTGCCATACAGTAAAAGACACAGGCAAAAATAGAAGCATGAATTACTTAGGTTAGAAAATTTCCGACATTTCCAGGTCGTTGGAAATCATTCTAGTAATTTTATCCAGAACGGAAAGTGGTATTAAACAAAACAAAAGGTCAATATCGTCGTTTCTATCTGTGACGAAAGTGGAAATTCATCCTAACTTTATTTAATACCAAGTAAGCAATATTTAGAAACTCTAGGTTATGATTAATTATATTAAATAATAATAATAATTAAAATATAAATCATTGATCAAACTGACTGAATAAAAATCTTTCGGAACTAATAATTAGCCAACTAAATTGATTATGACTGATTGCACATAATTAGGAATAAATTGTAATAGGATTTATGTCTCAAATCGATAAAAAATTGCGATTCTTTTTTTACATTAATATTATTTACTATATTTGAAAATCTTATGTTTATTTATTCTTTACACTCTTACTAATAGGTAAGGGTTACACCTTACACATAATAATTTACAGTAATACCTAGAGGAAATAAGGTAATAAAATAATACGTTTGAAATGAAATATTAAGTTTGGGCTAAAGGTTAGGTAACGCCAACAATCATAAATTCCAAATTAAAAATTTTGGTACATATAATACAACTTTGTTTGAAACCATTTAGGTAAGTGACTCTACATGTGGCATTTAATGTTAAAACGAATATTTATTTACAAATCTGTAGTCAGATTAGGAAGCACAACCACATTCCAGATCATTTATTCTTTTATGGTCTGTGAGAAGATTAGAAAGCTGCTAGTACATTTTTTTATGAAGTCTACACAAACCGTAATTCAAAACATGTTGATAGTAGTTTCCTAAAGAAGTTTAAAATTTTAAGATTTTAATGTTTTATTTCCGTGTTGTTCAACAAGTGTTAATTTATTACTAATAAATAATTATAATTGATTATTATTCTTAACTATTACACAGATTATCAATATTCCAGAATAATCATGGTAAATATAGCCTCCTACTTTACCATAGTAATTACGACGCAATAATCAAGAATTTTATTATAAATATGTAAATTCTCAGACACATTTGCATTTATATGAATGATGTAGTTTCTATGGAATATCTGGACGGTCGGTCCGGCAAATTTGCACATATCGATCCCAATATAGAGACAAAAAATGACTCATTAATTTTTATTTCGGCCATCTAAAGCAAAAGCATTAAAATTCATCGAATCTGAACTCGAATGGAAATTTTATAAAAATTTAATTCAAAATTGAAGTGATTCATTATTATAGAAGCACATTGACCGATAGACAGAATAATTTGGCGGTACCGAGTATTGTGTTTTTATTACATATTGATTTATGAATACTTTGTCGGTGGGTAATAAAAATTATAATAGACGTGTAGCTATTTATATATATATATATATATATATATATATATATATATATAACAACTTATATCATAATTGGAAAGGAAATGCTTTGTTTGAAATATATGTGGCAAAAATATGGATAATGGAATATTTTGACAACATGATTGGAATAAGTTTCCAAAGAATTATTGAATACATACATGATATAATATAACAATCAGTAGCTGTATTTTGTATTATGCAACATTCAAATTTAAACGTGTAAAAATATCTGAATTATTTCAATTCTTTATATTCTGTAAAGTTCATTAAATTTAAAACAGTTCGAATATACCTGAAGTAGGTTTGGAGTTATGGAATTAAATATTTTTATGTTGGAGTTATGGAATTAAATATTTTTATGTTCTATAATATTATAATAGTACCTGAAGCTCTTGGTGTATTTTGTGTCATAACTGGCGGCAGTATCAGTAGCACCTGTACCAAGTAAATTTCCTTCCTCATCCTCACTATCATCACTATCATTGTCATTTTCAGGTGAAACCTGTAAAAAATAAAAATAAATAAATATGATTGTATTCAATTATTTAAAAAAAAAATCATGACAAACTGCGCTAGATCGTGCGCTTCAATTAGTAAGCTTTATAAAACTAAAATGTTTTATAAAAATAAAGTAGGACAAGGTTGCTCTTTCAGCATGTGCTAGGACAGATGTATTTCGAGTTCAGACCTTTTTCGTAAATTTCCCTTGAGTCGCCTCATTGCATTTGTTACAAGAGTTTTTATTACACACCAATGACAAAAAAGATAGTATCATCAACTATTACTTTTATACTTGAAACATTAATTTTCAAACTAATCGAGAGTAATAGTAATCGTTAGGAGAGAAAATATTGCTCATAAGCATTTACATACTAAATAGTCTATTTATTTAAAGAACTATTATATATAAGAGTAGACGTTTGGATGAAAAAATAGTACAAATTATTATCATATTCAATTTGGGCCTGCTATTTAGATGACCATACGTTTATAAAATGGTGAAGCTGAATGGGTTCATCAATCAATGGTAAAAATTGATTAAATAATATTAATTTTTAAATAACATTATATTCCTACAATTCACGATAAATTTTAATTTTCGAACCTCTAGCACTTGCAAACAAATTTTATCTTACAAGTGTAATAAAGAAAAAATTGGTAGCACAAAAGAAGGTTTAGTTGAAAAGAGGAAATACGGGCAGGTTGGAATAAATACTTTCAATAATTTAGGATATTTTAACAGTAACTGACTAACAAAATACTTTGGGTAAGAGTTCAACACTGATGCTTAACCCTAATAATCATCGCCTTGACCGTTTGCGTGCATAATCTTGTGGTTACTACAAGAAATAATGTATTCGAAACTTTTTACATCGACTTCATTTTGACCTCTTCACAGTCTAATAAAAGTGAAATTGATTAACAATTAAGCTATTGTGTAATAAATGTAAGGAAAATTCTATACAACCATCATAAAGGATTCAAATCAAGAACTTTTTAGTAATTTTATTATTAAATATTAAAGGAATATTTTCATAATAAATTTATTAATAAGAGTGCAAATTAATGAATAGAATGAAATATATACCGACAAAATTATACACTGTTCTGAGTGTTATTTTAAATAAATAATGAAAAAATCCAAGTTCAATATTTGCTTGTTATATATAATTACAAGAGAATCATAATGAAAAATAAGAATAAAGACACGAAAGATAAAAACAAAGAATATTTTACACAATGGACATGCACATGTTATTATTGGAAAACATCACTTAATATTTGTATCATAAAAATTTGTTTAAATTTGAGCACCCAATTCGAACAGCCGTTCACTTTGAAAGATAGATCTAAAATATGTTCTGACTAATGTTTAATAAAAAAATAGAGCTGATACCTTTTTTTGTTAATTTTATTTGAACTCACTAAGAACTTGAGGGCCATATAAAACGTTGTGAAAATTAAATTTTTTAATTGCTATTTAAATATGATTAAGAAAATAAACTGTTATGATGATTTAACTTAACGCCGCTGGGTCTATCTGCTTTTGATAAATTTATTTCAAATTGTTTAATACTGATAAATTTTTATTTATGAGCTATTTTCACTTAGATATATCTTGCTATATATATTTCCAAGTGAAAACCGACTATTGTTTGAAATCACCTAGTCTAACCATTAATCCGCAGGAAAGCCCTATATTTATCATTGTCTTTTGAAGAAAATACTTGCAGCACCTTCTCTAAATCAAGGAGCAAAGTAATTCGAAATTAGGCGGTTCCAAATTTTAAGAACTATAATGAATTATTTAAAAAAATGTAAAAACAAAAGTGTAGTCGAAGTGTTTAAGATTAATAGAACTGACAATATGAATGCTTCCTGTTAGCTCTTATCAGTTCGTTTGCAATAAATCAAGTTGATCGCGTTTTCCGTTACACGTGAAGAAATTAGCTGTTGTGAAGTCACCACACCTTATGCATAAAAAATATTAGAAATACAATGCAACAATGGCAGATCAATTAGATAACGACAAAAAAACAATCGATTGATTACATACAAATTAATTTATGCAATAAATCAGGAAGAATAATTGCAGGCTTAGCGAGAAATAATTAACGTTTCCAATAATGGGAAGGATATATCAAGTCAATGTGATGGGAACGAAATATAATCGACAAAATATAATCGAAACTTTTCAATAATACAATTATCTTGTACCATGTTGCAATCCTGATTAAATATGCTAACTTTTGATAAAACCTTTTAACACACTTTAGTAATTTTTTTAGAAAGGAGAGTCCATCAAAGTCGACCGATTTTAAAAAATTTAAATTCATAGATCAACAAAAAGTCTTAATTTTCGAAAACTTGAGGCAATTGTGTTATTATTTTTTCACCGTGGTGCTAGCAATATTAATTACGGATTCGGTTCCAAATTAAAAAAAAAAATAAACAAAAAAATTAACCACAATAATCAGAAAAATGGTGATAGTTTCACCAAAGCTCTAGGTTGCACTTGATAGTTTATATTTGACAAACATAAGATTTTTTTGAAAAAGTTTAGTACAGAAGGTCAATACTATTATGAGTATTACATACCCCGTTACGGCTTGACGTTAAGTTCTGGGACACCCTGCATATATACCATGGAGTTATTATTTTTTAATATAAAGGTAACAAATTATCAGTGTTTTAGATTAGTTTTTACCCACTATCCAAATATATTTAATGAATTATTTTTTATTATAAATCTAAAATAACAAGATTTAAGCATACATATTTACACTGGCACTTGTCTAACAAATTCAATAAACTATTATTAATTGTTTAATTAAGTAACTATAAAAATACATAGAACAACTATCTAATTACAGTTATTCTAGGATCTAGATCGTATTAAATTTGCACGTCATAGCTTTGAACAAAGAATAGTATCATATTACTATTTTCGCGTAATTTGTTATTTAATAATGAGGCAATCATTTCACAAAAGATTTCGAAATACAACAGTATCGCCATAGTCTATTATTATTGCGTTTTAAAACCAAACGGCGATAAAATAGTATTCAATTTAGCTATTTTTGTATGCATCACTTACTAAAATAAATGACTTGATCATAAAATTTTGTAAAACATAAATAATCAGTTATTTGAATTGAGGTCGAATCGTAAAACGGTTCTTTGATAAAATAAATATAAATATTATGCATTTTTGAGTAACCTGCAGAGGAGTAAAATTGAAGTTGCAGATAGTTATCGGTGTAAAGATTAAAGTATTTGATAAATTAGTAATACAGAATAAATGGTGTAGAATAGATAAATTATTGATATATAATAAACTGGCCCATAGATCTACTTGAGTAGATTTATTTTCTTTAAGATCACTTAATGGAGTGATCCTGATACTATTATTTTATTATTATTATTATTTTTTATTTTTATATTATTATTATTATTATTATTACTATTATCATTCTCATTATTATTCTTATTATTATTACTGTTATCATTATCATTATTATTTATATTATTATTACATTTATTATATATATATAATTTTTCGTTTTTAAACCATAGCACAATAGCTTATAGAATTTTATGTAATTTTGATTGCTATTTACTAATTAATAAAAAAATTGATATAATAATATAAAATACATTGAACATAAAATGCTATTCAAAAAAAAGTTTCTAAATCGGTCCTTCGTTTCCTAAACTTGATACATAGTAATTATGTAATGGGCATATTTTTTGGGAATAACATTCCAATATCATAAATGAATTATAAAATAAAAGTACAAACGTAAAGTATTCAAATAGAGTATCACGAATAGTATTATATATTTAATCATGCTCTAGTTACCACATGTATAAATTTTTAATTTAAAGATGAAGGGAAAAATCCTATATATACATATACACATATATATATATATATATATATATATATATATAAATTATATATAAATATTAAATATAAAAATAATGTTCAAAATTAAACTACTAACCCTTTCCACTCGTGCATTGCAACGATACAATATGTTTTGCCCTGGGTTAACCCATGGCAAATTAAAAAATTAAATTAAATGTAATAACAATGATTAACAATTCTAAAATTATAATATATAATTATCGAAGTTATGATTTAATACATTAAAACTCAGATTAATATGTTACCATTTATAAAATAAAACATATTTCAGAATCAGTCATTCATAAAAATGTATGTAATATTTAAGAATAGTAAATAAAAAATGTAGTGAAATCATGTACACAATTAATATAAATATAAATGATTGAAGTTCAAAAAAAATATTAAAAACTATTTTCTATCTAGTTGTTAAGAAATATTTCAAGGGATTAATTTCTACGATTGGTTCGGCACACCTGGCACAGAGGGTTCCTACTTCCTTATCTTAAATTTCTACAATGATTTTTTTCGTTACCCATAGTAAAAGCATCGTTGCACGTTTTACATTCATTCATAAAATATTCAAATGGAATATTATTTAAAATTAAAGAATAATATTTTATTTTCATATGACTTTTTAAAAATTATTTTATGAGATGCTTTTTTCTTTGTTGCATGAGCTGAATGTTAGTTTTAACTTATCTGTTATGCTTGCAATGCATCTCTACTTTGCTTATCAGTTTTAATATAAATTACTTCCTATGCCTTGAACCATCTGTTTAGTTTAAAACAACTGATAAAAAACTTACACTAATAACATTAGAAGACGAAACATTCCATAAGGGTAATATTAAAATTGTTTAATTGTTTTTTATTCAAGTTTACAAATAGAAAACTTTTTTTTGTTAGATTGAAACCAGCAGTTACTAGTAATATTTATGAAGCTTCTGACTATTGAATTTTAATTAAAGAAAATTCATTTCTATGCTCGCAAAATTTAAAAACTTCATAGTCTTGATATAACAGTTATATTGGTAATTATTTTAAAAAAAGTTCGTTCAATAATGACTAATGCAAAATGACATTAGTTC